TTTCAAATCTTGGACAGGATGGTGAGGATAAATATCTGGCGGAATGTTTGGCTGAAATTAGAAAAGTAAAAAGGATGTAACAAGAATTTAAATAATAAAAAAACAACAAGGAAATAAAGAATTAAAGTATCAAGAAATCAAATTATTTGTAATTACAAAACTTTACAACTTAATTTATAAGTTCAACATTCCATGGAACTTGATAGAAAGAATATTTTACAGAAAATCATGTATGTATTATTACAATATCAGTATACTCACTGGCTCGAGTATAATGCCAAGATCAGGATGTACAAACTCATAACGATCAAACATCACAAGTGGCCCTCTGGGTGTTTCCAATTTGTAAAACAGAAAGTGCTTTACTTTTCTGCATATTAACCATACCTGTTCCATGAAAGGCTTAGCCAATGGTAGTGGATCATTGAATCTGTTTGCTAATCGCAACCACAAAGCTATAATAAACAGAGATAAAAGATTAACATACAAACTTGAATTATTAAAAATAAAGCCCTGAATCAGTAAGATATACACTTAAAAACAGTAATTAACGTAACAATTCTGCAAAATTAAATAAAAAGTCGATAAATTATTATAACAATCTATGTAATATTTTATATATTAGAATGATATAAAACTAAGGTGAAATTACCTTGTAAAGTAATACCATCTAACCCTTCTAAAGCAACCTCGTCCATGACTGATTCCACTAAATTAGACGGAGATGAGGCCATGCTTCATTAATAACGTTAACAATGCTGCACATAAATGTAATAAATCAGTAATAAATAAAATAGCTGTTTTCAAAACAGCTATCAAAACACGTGGCTTTGTCAGGTCAGAGAGAAACTCTGCTCTGGATCATGGTATAAATACATATACTGACATATACCATGCTCTGGATCTGTTTTGTTATTTCTGTTCCTTGTAGGTACAGGACTTTACACTTCCTGCACTTGAAGTGGAAAATAGAAAAGAAAAAGAAAACAGATAAAAAAGTACAAGAAGTCAAAAAGTTTAGCTACAAAAAAAAACAAATCTCAAAATTACGTGGGGAATATTAGAGTTTTTTTTTGTAGAATTTTTATAATGGAACTTTAACTTTTTGCTAAACTTTTTACAATTTCTTTTCTCTTTTTTCTTCAAACACCTAATTTACCCATTTTATTTAATTTTATTTAATTCTTTTTTAAGTGTAATCAACGCAGCTCAACGCAACAGTGCAGCATAAAGTCATAATTTCGTGCGAGCGAAGAAAAACTGGCATATTTTGCTTGAATTTAGCAATAACCTCGATTGTTGCAAAACGACGGACGATTCGTTCCGCTGGCCCCGGTCGCGCCTGTTATCCCGTTATCTCGTATGTACGTTCCTGATCGGGGATGAGTTTCTAACCTAAATTATCGTGCGCGCTACTTGGTCGGAGACACGCTACACGATAGGTGTAGTTGGTTCAGATTCTTATCATTGCAAGGTTTTACGTCATCTCGACGAAGCGATTACTTGGATTACATTTTACGGTGTCTGCTTTCGTCGTGAAGAAATAATCGTAAAAATATTGCAGAGAGAGTTTATGGTGAGATTCGCGAGGACACTCGACAATGACGAACAGCTGGCGAGGCACGAATGTGCCAGCAAGTTCGAAGGTAAATTCTTAAACGTTCAGTTTTACGAATACTTTCGTATTCGACACGTCAATTTTCAATTCCAAGTAAAATTTTGTGTATGTTCGTAAATACTTGAGCAACATTTTTTTGCATGCCATATATGGAAACATAATTATCAACAGCAATCAACTGAATAGATCTTGAGAATTATTCCACTTTCTTCCATCGTTGGTTGATAAACTGATGTCCTTGATACATTTTGTTTGCCTGTTTTGCAGGATCTGGAACATAACGAGTTTATGAAACGTATAAGAAAGTCATTATATTACTCCAAGTTGCCAGTGATTAACTGCTTGAGTTTACCGGTTACAGGTCAGTATAATGTTGGATTGTAAACTGAAATAATTAAATCCCGATGATACGTGAAGTTAATTTGTTATCCTTTATCTATATTAATAAAACATTATTTGCCAGTCACAAATATTCATCTGATAAAAATCAAAGAGATTCGCAATATAACACTTTAATGTGCCGCTTAACAAGAAAGTCTATATTATTAAATACTCCTTATATCTTTAATATCTTCTGAGAGAATAATTTTTTGTTACCTAATTACAAATCTCTCTTTAGAAAAGAAAAATTTAAAAAGCAAAGAACTCGGGAATAATTTTCTATGCTTGTCTTTAGTTTTATTCAGCTATATTTATATCTGATAGTGTTGTTTTTGTGATTACTTTAAGTAGCATCCTATTTAAAATATCACAATTTTACTTTCTTAAGAATGACAGACATTCAAATTAAGACAACAGATAAACGCTTTATATTTTTTATACATACAACTTGATGTTAATAAAACACGATTCATGAATTGATCTTTTTTGTATTTTCAGAATTGGCAGCCGAACTTTTTACGGAGGTAAAGAGTGGCCATACGTTGGAAAAACTTGATGTCGAGGAGGCAAGCAGGATATCTAGAAATGCGTGTGTTTCCCCTTGCTCGCTTGTGTTGGCCTTGCTATATATTGAGAGATTAAAGAACTGCAATCCGGAATATCTTCATCAAGTAGCGCCTTCCGAGCTATTCTTGGTTTCTTTGGTAATTGATCGTTTTGGTACATCAGTAATTGTAACACTTTTAAGTGCATCATTTATAAGTGCATTTTTTATCAATAATTCTTAGATGGTGGCCAGTAAATTTCTGCACGATGATGGTGAAGAAGATGAGGTTTTCAACAAGGAGTGGGCAAATTCAGGACAAGTGACTATATCTCGAATGAATAAATTGGAAAAGGATTTTCTTGCTGCAATCGTAAGCAATGCATCTTTTATCATTATTCTTTTTAATTACAAAACTTACATTATCTCAGTTTGTCATTTAATTATCAATTGACAACTTGTCATTTGTTAAAAAGTGATCATTTTTTATGCCGCAGGACTGGACGGTATTGGTGCAGCACCAAGATTTTTGGGAAAGGTTGCAACAATTGGAAAAAAACGTGGCGTATCGAGAAGTGCACAAGCGAAGATGGTGCACGTATACAGAATTGAGCTGTCTGATGAATTCCGTTCAATTGATTAGAATCGCACAAACCCTAATAAGTGTCTCTTCGATCTGCCTGGCGACTTACGCCGCCGGATTGGCGACTCTCCTGGGATCCACTCTGGTCGCCAATTTTATCGTGCAAAGTTGCTTACCCACGGCATCGTCTAGTTCGCGGCAACCGACGAATCTGTCCATGAATCTCGCAACGGATCGTAATCTCATATCAACCGACCTACCTGATTCGTTGATAAATACGCGATCCCAGGAGATCAACGACGACGGTCTTCCGATTTCCGGTTCCGAGAACGTTGTCGGTTATTCTGCAACCGCGGAAATCGACAATGACGACGAAGATACAGGCAGTTGGAAATGGTGGCTAAACTCGACAATGACTTGGCTGCCCGAGTACTGTAACTTAGAGAGCAACGTCGAGGTTGTAAATTCTACCAACAAATTATGCGTTACCAATGTCGACTTCTCGTTCAATGCAACGCAAGCTATGGACATAAAAAAGATGGAGAAAACAGGGAAAAGGGAGGATTTCGCTCCGGAGGACTATCGCCGCAACGTAAATTGGAAGGAAATACTGGATACAACCTTAAACTGGCTGGTAGAACAAAACCGGAAACGATCGCATTACGAAAGTGTTTTTCAATCACCTGAATTACAAATTTATTAGCTTGCTGATAAAAACTTGCCTGTTACACAACCTTTTTTTCAGAGGATATATATTTACATATAAACAAACCTATATTTTTTGTACTAACTTTTTGCAATGTAACGTTCGATACTAACAAATCTGATTTTCTCAATAAATATCTGATGTCGCATGCTACGATGTTGTTTTATAGTTCTGAAGATGATTACATGCTAAGCGAACGAATAACGAGCAGTCTCTTTGGAAGACTGATATTAAAACAAGTTTGTATTCTAGTTTAATCTCTGAGGTCACACGTACATGCTTCTTTTTTAATTGCTTACTTAAATAGCACTGGATTAAAGCTTCGTTAAATACAGTAGGTTAAAAACCTATTTCAGCCGTTAAAAAAACAATTTGTTACGCATAAACTTCGTTCTATACACAGTTCTCTATATTATACATTCTATACATTTATATATTAAATACTTTGTAATATCTTTGAATCGTGTTATTTGCGATAATTGAACATTAAAATTATAAAAGTTTATAGACATTTGTAAAACAAAACGCTTTGTGGGATACTTGTGGGGCTTGTTCTACATGTTAATTAAATTAATTCGTTGTTCAGTCATTTTTTTAAGACAATTCAGCTACCGTTGCGGAAGAGTGCGGCTAATCCTATAGGCGTCATGCCAAGAATGCATCCAATCGTAACACCGATAACCCGACCCTATATTGAAGGAAAAAAAGATGATCTTGAATAATTTTGCTAAAGAAATTTATGATTTTTAATTATCCTAGAATCTTTTTTGCGTAATATTCAATAATAAAATAAATATATTACAGTAAAATAAAATCTAATAAGGCAACATATCGTACCACATTCGCGGCTATCCGTGTCCTAGGTAGTCTCAGTTGTGCTAGAGTTAACTTGGGCGCTTCGATGCCGATTTTCTGGACAAACATCTCAACATAATGCACCGAGCCGATTCCGATGACATCGGACACCGTGTTACCCAGCGCTGCCGCTGCCATGGTGGAGATCGGAAACCTTTGGTTCAATATCAACTCGATTTGATCGCCCTGAAACATCAATCTTAAAAGTCGGCACGCAGTGGACAATGGAAGCCTGTAAGATACGTACAGCAACGATCATGATGAAGTTGTCAAGAAAACCAAACCCGACGAACGGAATTGCATTCGCGATCGCGACTGCAAAAATACAATAATCGTCTCAGATTATTCATTTGCACTTTTAACCGGAAATCTAAATTGAAATCTAAATTATACGTATGTGAAACTTCTACGTATATTTTGTCTGCTTAGAAGTTTGTTAAACTAAAATCTATATAACTTGCAATAATAAATTTTATAATATAAAACAGTATAGTACTTAATTTTTATGTCTTGCGAATAGCAAATAGGAGATGGATAAAATAGAAGCGCGACCGATTGCTTGCTCGCGAGTATATAGACGGCTTTTTGATATGGAAAGCAATGCATACCTAATACCAGGTCTTTTGTGGTTGGTTCTGCAACGTGTTCAACTGTAACAACAAAAGATTCGATCTAAATCCACAAGTTAATCTTGTTTAACTGCTACACAATAGCTCAATGAAACTAGCAAATACTATATGCAGTATAAAGTAAATTTTTTTCATTGTTCATGAACACCGAAATTGTATATTTTATGTGATGTATTTTTTAACAAATTTTAATTAAAAAAGGAATCTTAAGAAAATTCAAGCAAAGGGAAAAATTTGTCATACGAGAAAAACGAAAAAGTTCCATGATTAAAGAATATGTTTAACAAATTTTTGCAAAAAATAATCATTTTATGTAGAACAATTCTACACAATTTAGGATGAAAAATAATCCGAATAATTACTTCAAGAACAAAATTTACCGGAAATACTGCGAAAAAAAATGTGAGGCGATAAGTCCATAATTGAAAAATGTATTTGATTAAAAAAGTCAATAAAAACTAATTTTTATGATGGAAAAAAAGTTTTTCAAAAACGAGAGAACCGTAAAAATGTGTCCAAAGTATTACCTAACTGTGGCACTGTGGTTGACCATGAAACATCCGAAAAGTTGTGTCAGAATAGAAGCAGGCAAGAGAGTTAGTGTAATTAGAAAGAGACAGAGAGAAACTGAGGGTAAGAGAGAAAGAGAGAAATCGAGAAAAAACGAGAAACTTACAGAATAACATCCATGGAGATCGCATTGCAGGAAAAAGATTCCATTATATCCAATGATACCATTAAATAACAGTCGAGGAGGGTTAATTTTATTTTACGAGATCTATAGGTAATAAATCTAAGTTAATGTTCATAATGCTTCGTGAATGTAACAAACTATTACATTTGCATTAAAGATATTTCAGTCGGCCTGTGCTTTTTTTTTATAGTATCGGTGATCCAACAAATGCACGACTTATATGATTCAGATGATAAGAACAGCAATGTCCATACCATACTTGTTGTCTAACCAATCGTCTGGCATAGGGCAATAGGTTCCTGTAGGATCCACCTCGCCCAATGACGGTATATTGGTAGGTCTACCAAACTTGCTCCTCCATCGGATAGCTGCCAGTTGACCTGACGTAAAAAGGCAAAAGTCCAAGAATTTATTATTGATTTATTTATACACGTATAACGCTGCATATACAAAAAATCCATATCTTTTCCCCAGCAATCCTGGTGAAAAAATTACTCATATTTTAGATTTATGAACAATTCTGAAAAAATATTTAAAATTTCTCAGATACTTTTAGAAATAATT